TCTGAGACACATCATTCATTGTCACTCTTGACCCTGGTTTTCCACCACCCACTGGGTGTATCGTAATTCATAGTCTCCAATGGGACACATCCATAGCCCAGAGTCATCAATCATGTTCTCAAGTTAGGATTTTGCTCAGCAGAAACTTTAGTCACCTAGTTACTATCTTTGCAAAACTATTTATGGAATGCACTTTCGATTTCCAAGCTGCCGCACTGCTCTTTCAAACCCCTTCCCCCCCTCCTTTTCTGTTGGCAACTCTAAAAAGACCATAAAAATATTTTATGAGTTGACACACAAACATTAAGAGAAGCCAGACTGACTTAATAACTTTAAGTGATTCACTTAAAGAACTGCAGTGATTTACTTAATAACCATGGCCATAAAATGGGGGAATGACTCAATGAACAACTGTTTCGCTGAGGGACTAAAACTCTGGTCCCAATTGTTGGTGTATGTCGAGGACACACAAGTTCTGGGGCAATCAAGAGTCTTATCTTGGGGACAAAGCCGAGAAGGAGAAGGATCTGCCCCCTACTTGAACAACGTCCGCAGGTCCACGACTTTGCACACCCTCGCCGAGATCTCCCAGGCGATCCGTTCCATCAGAGGGACCATCCGCTCGTCCTTGTTGTAGTGCCGCGAAATAATCCAGACCATCCGCAAAGCATTCATCAGAGAAGGGATGGTATCCAAGACGACGTTGAACCCGGTGCCGTGGGTTAAATTCTGCCCCCAGGGGAGGTGGAAAGCCCATATTACAATTCATTTCGCACCCGGGGTTAGACAAAGGGAGAAAGGAACAGAAGGGTATGGGGTCAGGGGGAGGGTCACCTAGAACCCTAGCTGGCCAAGCTTTTCAGATAGCATGCTCTAGGAAAGGGGTCCCCAAACTTGGCCAATTTAAGACTTGGGGACTTCAACTCCCAGAATTCTCCAGCCAGCATAGTTTACTCTCTTGCAATCCCTTCCTCTGCAATTTCTCTTCACTTTAGGAGATTAAGAGAGAGAGAAAAAGCAGGCATGGCTGGCTGGGGGATTCTGGGAGTTGAAGTCCACAAGTCTTAAAGTGGCCAAGGTTGGAGACTCCTGGTATAAAGTCACATCTTCTCCAGGTTGATGTTCTTCAGCTTGAGCTCAACCATCTAGCCTTCAAGTCCTTTACCCCTCTGGAATACCTGTGGGACAGGATGTTCACCTCTGCCTGGGACTACAAAAACAGAACAAACACCAGGCCAGCTCCCAAGAAATGCGGCCCAGAGACCTGGGCCTTTGATTCCCAGGGGAGCAGTAGGCATAGAGCAGGGGTCCCCAAACTTGGCCACTTTAAGACTTGTGGACTTCAACTCCCAGGATTCTCCAGCTAGCATTGCTTGCTCTCTTGTAATCCCTTCCCCTGCAATCTCTCTCCACTTTAGGAGATTAAGAGAGAGGAAAAAACCAGGCATGGCTGGCTGGGGAATTCTGGGAGTTGAAGTCCACCAGTCTTAAAGTGGCCAAGTTTGAGGACTCCAGCTCTAGGGGGTAATCCCATGGCATCAAAATCAAAATAAGTTTTTTTAAATTTTATTTTAACCAGCAATCCTCTTTTGAGATTTGGGTGATCTTCTCCCCAAGGTCTCATATGAGAACACTGAAGTTCTGTAGCATATACAAACATACACAATCTAATTTTTTAAAAAAATATAAGCTGAGTAAGGTGTAGAAGCCACTTAGATGCTTGCTGGTAGACTAAGTGTGGCTAAATGTCTAGGGAGATTCTCTGTCATCCATGATCACAGTTGTCCCAAAGGTGCTTGTTGTTGTCTTTTTCAAGAGGCAACTGGACCTTTCTGGTTTTTCTTTGAAGAGGTTTCGCTTCTCATCCAAGAAGCTTCTTCAAGCTCTTGAAGAAGAACTGAACTAAGAACTGGAGAAGCTTCTCGGATGAGAAGCGAAATGTCTTCAAAAGAAAAACCAGAAAAGTCCAGTTGCCTCTTGAAAAAAAAGCACCTTTTGGGATAAACAGGGCTGGTTTTTGTGTGGCACCAACTGCAGATGATGTTTGCTGACCAAGGAGAACCTCTTAGGAAGAGGGTACTTGTTTGTCCGACCCCGCTGGTTGACCAAGAGATACCTTCAGATGTCGCTCCAGGGTGGAAAGAAACCTCACGTTGTCCACCGCTTCCACGTGATGCTTGGAGAGTTCGGCGACGACCACCTGCAAGTTGTCCACGATCCCCGCGTTGGCCATTTCAAGCACCTGTAGGACCTTCTTGACTGTGGGCAGCTTCACCTGCTCCGTCAGGGCACTCAGGGTGGCATTCCTCTCCCGCCAGAGATCGATCTCTGGGAGCGGGCCGTTCCCCTGCAGGCAGGAGGAAGAAAGGAAGACCGGGTGTCCTTGAATGAGTCTCTGAACCTTCCTCGTTAGAGGAGCTGGGCTGTCTTCTTTCTGAGGGCTCATGGAATGAAATATAGCAAAATAATGGAGGACACCTTAAGGCCGTATTAGCGCCAGGCATCCAGAAATTGTCCGTTGCAAATCAATAACTCCGAGACAGGCATCCTCTCCAATTGATTTATTAGGAACAACCCTGGTAAGGTCTGTGAAATTTCAAAATTCAACAGGAAGAATGACGTATGTATGTAAAACCCTATAAATGTAATATTCACTCTACATGTGGTGTCTTCATACTCGGAATGTTAAGGAGATGAAGTCCATTTCTGATATTTGCAAATCTCTGAATAAAGACTTTTTACGGTTCTTTGGTCTATTTTTGGCATTTATAACACTTTCTGATAAAGGTGGTGTTAGTTTTCCTATTGGTTTCTTGTATGGACGACTACGAAGGGCTGAGAATGTCCTGCTAGAGCAGGGGCGGGCAACTATGACCCAGGGACTTCCACTCCCACGGCTGCCTCAGGAATTCTGGGAGTCGAAGTCCACAAGTCGTAAAGTTGCTCTCCCCTGTGATGGACATTATCTACCCATTGAAAGAATGGATCAAACGGAAGTCCTAGACACCAAGACAACTTTTAGAACTGTCCCAATAGAGAAGACCTACCCTTCCCTTCACTCCCTTGTTATGTCGAAGGACCGGTTAATAGATTTGGGGCTCGTCAATGGAGAGATTGCTGGAAAATGCTAACCTTTAGAGAAGTTGCGGCCATCGAATTTGGAGGCCAGCTTGAGCCCAATTACCTGGGGAACTTTTCTCTGGAGTTCTTCGTTTGCAGAAGAGATCAACACGAGCCAACCGTTTGCAAGGTTTTCCAACGTTTCAACCACTTCCTGGTCAGCCGCCAGTTCATACGCGTCCCCTTCTATGCTTAACGTCGGCATGTCTAACTTAATTTCCCCTGTCAGGTTAAAAAAGAAGAAGAAGAAGAAGAAGAAGAAGAAGAAGAAGAAGAAGAAGAAGAAGAAGAAGAAGAAGAAAATGCAGCTGAGCATCCTGTGACGAGCTCTCAGGCTGACGGTGTCCATCTGGGTTGGGCCCACAGCACCCAGTGAGTTGTAGTACCATTTCTCGTTTCTGGAGAAGCTCAGGTGGGAGAGGGCAGGTGTAGGCTGTCCCCCCCCCCCCCCCGAGCCACAACTCACCTTCAATCTGCTGGATGGTCCTCTGAATGTGGTTCAGGAATTTCTGCATGTTCATCAAGAACTCATTCCGTAGATTCTGGTAACTATCGAATACCAGCGGCTTCTTCAGCGCCTTTTGGGCAAGCTGCGAATCTTCCCCCTCGGCTTTTTCAGATTCTGCATGCGTGCTGATCTCATCCAAGCCATACTGGTTGTGGGACATGGCGGGCAGGTACACCTGCAACGACAGCATTTTCACAACTTTCGACACCTTTCGCTGGAGGCCGACCAACTCTTCACCTTCTCTAAATTCAGGTGCGGCATCTGCACAATCATCCAACTGTTGCTAAGCTGAAACTTCCAGCTGTAGCAGCAGAACCCAGCAGTAAGGGGTGATGAGAGTCGTAGTCGGGCAACATCTGGAGAAGTTCCAGAGCAGGCCTGCTTTTGGATGCTGCTAGTTGCCAAGAAAGGGCAGTATATGAGAAAAGTTTATTTTCTTGGATGTTTCTTTATCTGACCCTACTGAAGTGTCCTCTTTGGAGAAACACGGTCTAGGAGATGACCTGAGGGAGGCGTCAAAGGAGTCATCAGTCTCGAATCCCATCAAACCCACAAGAGATCTAAGTCCAGCTACCAGGAATTCCTTTCTATTCTTATCTCCCGCTCATTTCCCTTGACCGTTAGTAGTTCAGATTCTTGTAGAGAGCCTAAGCTTACAATAAATCTTTTATCCTCATTTGAACGGCCTGAATTTTCCGACTTCCCTGGCGCTTGACACTTGAATAGGAATCCTGAGCTGTGCATAGAAGGCTGCCCACGTTGTCAACTTCACTACTGAGACCCCCACAAAGCCACAGTGAAGGCCTGGAGACAAAACCCAACCAACTAAAGCCTCTCACCAGGGCCAAGATCTGTTTGAGCATCAACAGAGTGTTGTTGTTCAGGATGCCGTATTCCAAAACTTCGGGCAAGACGTCGTTGGCTTCGGCCAGGTCATTAGGTTCTGACACCGTTTCTGGTGACAAGAGGAGAAAAGGATCTCTGAAGTGGATTCCTAACTTCCAGAGATCTCATGCCTACCTTCTAAGGAAATCGTGGGCGAGCAAACTTCTAGGAAGTTTGGGTTCATAAAGCAGTGGGAAGAACGGACCAGCCTGTTTGAATGCCTTCCCTCTCTTGGCCCATGGAGAAACAGCCCGGGAAGAGAGCAAGCTGGTTACTTATAACTGGCGTGCTAGCTTGGTAAAAAGAAGCAACCATTTTTGATAAGAGGGTGTGTCCTGCAGCTGGATGGGGGGGTGAAGCAAGATGCTCAAAAGAGACCCTCCCTAGTTTCTCAGGGTGTAAAAAAGAGATGGCGGGAGAATTGTGCTTTCAAACATGCAAGATGGAGGTTGGCCTTTGCAAGTAAACCAGACAGGAAACTCAAACAGATGAGCTATGATTAAGTCTACTTTATTGTAACGCTACGTTAGCAGAACCTTGCACGCCTGAAGGTACAAATGTCCCACCGTCTCTTTTACAGCTTAAAAAGGGGAGGTCTCTTCTGAGCATCTTGCTCCACCCATTCTCCAGCTGTAGGCCACGCCCTCTCATCAAAAATGATCCTTTGTCCACCAGGCTGGCACGCCAGTTATAAATAACCAGCTTGGTTATAAGTTAGGGGAGGGTCTCTTCTGAGCCCCTTTCCCCATCCATTATGCAGCTCTGGTCTATGCCCTCTCTTACCTGACTGTTCTCTAAAGCTACACTCACAGAATCTTGCAAGTTTGAAGGTAGAAATCTTCAGACGAGCTAACTCCACTTTATTGTAAAGCTACATTCACAGAATCATGCAAGTCTCAAGGCACAACTCTTCTGCTGTCCCTTTTACAGCCTGAGAAACTAGGGAGGGTTCCTTTTGAGCCTCTTTCTCCACTCCTTATACAGCTCGGGGATATGTAGCCTCTTATCTATCTGATCATTCCCAGGCACCTCCTCTTCCACCGTCTTTCTCACATACCATTACAGAAGTTTAGCTTCATGATCGTTGAATTGGGTACCGATGGGGGACTTCATTAAAGAGAGAAACAGAATTAAGGGACAAATATTTCATTTGTCAAGCAGAGGTCATAGACGGGCAGATGAAATGGGACTAAAAGAAAGACAAAAGGGGCTTCTGGAATGGGAAATGTCGTGACGCTCCGTTTTGCTCCAAGCCTTTTTTTTCCTTTCCAATGCTTAAAATACCTGCTGTCTCTCTCAGGAAATAGATGGTATCACTCTCCACAAATTCTTCCGGGATATCGTTCACCGCCATGTGGTAATAGAGATTATAAACTTCTTGCTTCACAATTTTCTGAAACGGAGAGAGACCAAACGGCTGTGCTTAGAAAGAAAATCAAACACACATTCTGAATTTGGATTTGCCCAACGGATGCGCTGAACCACAAGGAACCCGCCAAAGCAAACGGTTGCGTTGAGAGCAGAATAAATGTTCTCGGCACACAATTGTGAACGGTGTCACTTTTGGGCTGCTTTTCCCATTTGCATTTGGAATTCGGTTTGCAAGAGATTAAAAAACAAGCCAGTATTTTGAAAAAGAACAATCCTGATTCAAAAAAAGAAAAGCTGTGGTTTAGGTAGGTAGGAAGAATTCCCGAATCTGTGGTGATCCATGGCAGAATGAACCCTACAAAGAAACAACGGGGCGGACACCGAAGCAGAGCGAGGGCGACTTACTTTGTACGTCCGAGCCTTTCGTCGCGATATGCCCAGCTCGTGCTCTATTTCCGTCATGCCTGACCTGACCGAGGCTGTGGAAAGGGTCCCACTCATGGTTTTTTCTCCTGGTTCGTTTACGGATGTCCTGCTCCTCCAGCTTTTCTCTAAACGAGGGACATCCAGAGAAAGAAATCAGACATCACCACAAACAGGAGGTCGTTCCCTGACAGGCAGAACAAATACATCAGGGGAACGATTTGCCTCCAGAAGTTCTGAATGCTCCAACACTGGAGGTTTTTAAGAAGAGATTGGACAGCCCACTTGAAATGGTATAGGGTCTCCTGCTTGAGGAGCGGGTTGGACTAGAAGACCTCCAAGGTCCCTTCCAATTCTGTTACAGGAACTGGGCCTGGCTAGTCTAGGGAAGAGAAGGACCAGGGGAGACAGGAGAGCAGTCTTCCAATATATGAGGGGATGCCACAGAGAGGAGGAAGGGGTCAAGCTGTTTTCCAACGCATCCAAAGGCCAGACAAGGAATAATGGCTGGAAACTGAACAAGGAGAGATTCGACTTGGAAATAAGGAGAAACTTTCTGACAGGGAGAACAATCAACCCATGGAATAGAATGGAAGTTGTCTTCAGAAGTTGTGGGAGCTTCATCACTGGAGGCTTTCAAGAAGAGACTGCTCAGGCGGAGGGGTTGGACTAGGTGACCTACAAGGTCCCTTCCAAATCTGATTATCTGATATCCGATACATGTTATTTCAGCCAAGAATGGAAGGGAATCTGAAAGATGACAACTATCTGTGCTTTCGCACCAGTTCCTCTCCTTCTGACTTCAAGGGGATCCCTGGGCTGCAATAAATTCGAAGCGATCCAAACAACTGAAAGGGTTACAGTATTACACTCTTATTAGGGTTACACTATTACACTACACTGTTAGACTATTATTATTAGTAGTATACATGCCAATATCTCTGTTTTCTTCTACTTGAGTTTCTCTTCAGATCGTATAAATAAATTTTGACTTTTTTGTAAATGATATGCCCTGACAATACACTGTATTCTCACGCACACACACACACATCTATCTATCTATCTATCTATCTATCTATCTATCTATCTATCTATC